TGCAAAGTAAATTCGCCTCCACCAGGTCCTCTTTTGTAAAGTGCTCTAGGTTTTAGACCATCCCATCCACCGCAGGTGAACGTCTTTCTCAAAACTAGATGACTTTCGCTCATATCGTTAACTTTGTGAAATGTGTTCTCTGACTTTCTTAAGGACTGTAAATGGGAATTTTGCTCATAGAAAAGAGAATTTCACATGTACAAACACAAAGCCCAACTTTCCTTTTTTTTTTTTTTGTGAAGTAATTACATGGTCTGTTGTTCTAAGGGAACAAAAGAGTAGATAGTAATGCCTGAGTAACAATTACAACTTTTTATAGCAAAATGCATTCTTTGAGTAAGAATGTAGCCATTGCTTAATACAGACTTTTTTAAACAAAAATACAGCAAATCATATCTGATATTATTATCCAAAGTCAAAACATCTTTTCCAAACACCTTCCAAACAGGAGTAAATAACTGAGACCAATTCTTGTGTTGACCTGTCTTTCACCTTACTAACACTTAACCCTTCCAAATCTTTCAAACTGTGGGTGAGAAATGGGCTTCTGTAAGGAAAGGCGGGAGAGCTGGAGCATGGTAGCATTTTATTGGATAGTGTAAGCCTTGAACATTCATGGAGGACAAACCCAGTTATCTAGAGTCTGGATCAAAGATGGTGAGTAGTGTTTTTGGTTTGAGTAACAGTTTCATCCTTTGGAGGGGTTGTGAGCTGACACCAGTCACCCTGGGGAGGGGAGGAACTGTGATCTATGTGATCTATTCGCATTATCTGTCATGCTCACAGAGGAGGGAGGACCAGTGTGAGTGCCATACATTGCCATGGTGACCTAGGGGTGGCCTGAACCAGAACGGCAATTTGCCTAAAAAGCCCTCCAGAGTCAGTGCTCCAAAAATATGTATCAACTGCATGAGTGAATGAACCCCAAGAGCGTGACTATGTGCTCCTCACCATGTAGTCCTCCACCTGCCGGCCCCTGGGCGCTGGGTACGAGCTCGAGCAGCCTGTGGGCCAGCATTGCCAGTGCTCTCATTGCTGGGTTGGGTTTTATGTGGCCAGAAAGGAGCAGGGAAAATTAACGTGAATCAGAGACCTGCCAGAGTCAGTGATGAGCCACAGGAAATGCTTTTGTCTAAAAATATGCCATTTCTGAAAGGAAAACAGTCATTAGAGGGTGTGAGAAGCCCCCATGGCGAGAAAAGCAAAACAGTAAGACACACTGGGAGGCCAGTGGAACAACAGAGAAGCCCATTACCCACCCACTTCCTGTGCGATTAGCAAGACTTTAAGAGGATGAAAGGCAAACAGACAAAATGACAACCCACAGACAGAACTCCAGGGGAAATGTCTGGGGACCGCATTCGAAATGCAGCCGGGAGGTAGGAGGAGAAGAAACTGTTCCAGTTAATATTTTTCTTGCGTCATCTGGTTCAGCTATAGATTTGGCTAAAATTCCCTGCGAACTTACTCTATGCCAGGCACAGGGAGGGGTTTGCATACTTTATCTCCTGCCATCCTTTAAACAACATTGCAGAGGAGGAACCTGAGTCTCAAAGTCAAGTGATGTGTCCAGAGTCACAGAGCTGCCAAGGGACAGACAGGGTCCACCTCAGGTCCCCGGGCCCCAGGTCTCTCCCTCCTTCTAAGGTGTAGGATCCTTCCTAGGACACCAAAAGTCCTGACCATCCCTGCCCTGTGCTAGTCAAGACCAGTGTCCCCACTGGCCTGGTGGGGTACTGTCATTCCACATTCTTTCCCTGGTCTTGCCTGGAAGCAAGTCTGGGTAAAAGGAAACCAGCTGTCTTTCTCCTTAATAACTCATTGTCAGCTAAAACACACAGTGGCCACACCAGACCCATCTGTTCTCCCAGGAACAGTGCCGTCTTGGTGGGGAAAGGTAGCTTTTGAGCCACGGGTCCACAGTCTTACAGCAGTTGTGAAGCCCCTCTTTTCTGCAGAGTTTTCCAGGGCCTGGGCAGGGAAGCGTGGGGACCTTAGGTGGAGGAGGAGAGAACAGGCCTCCCGGGGCCTCTGGCCATTAAGGACACATCCTCCACACTAGCAGCGCCTTAATGCTCTGCCCATTCCACCCTCCTCCACCCTTGATGTAGGTCATTTGTCACCATCTGTAGATTAGAAAACAAAGTCTCCCTTATTGAACCATCTAGCAGCTTTGACTCTCACATGTCAGAATTTGACATTTGGAAATGCAAAGGGCAGTATCTCCTCTGAGCAGACATGAAGGGTCACCCTGTGGGGACAATTTCCTAGTCCTCTCCACCTGTCTTCAGCATTCTTCAGTCCTGAACTCCCCCACCATGTCGAGTCCCCATCCCTTCATGGACACAGTTATTCCTACAGTGTTTCCAGGACACCTCCATGAGGGTGAGGTGACAGCTTCCAGGCCCTCATGGACTCACAGTCTCAGTGCAGCAGCCAAGAAGAGTGGTGTCTATGTGTGACTGCTGTTGCTGGGGGAAATCATGATTTCTTCCATGCCGCCTCCAGCGGCCCTTCTCAGCCCTTCCCTTCATTGGGCTTTCCTTCTCAGCCCCTAAAGTCACCATGGTACCTTCAAGGCTCTTCTCTCTCTCCCCCACTATATCTGCCTGCCACTAAGTCCACTTGACCTTCCCTCTTTTATGCCTGTCCCTCCCCGATACCAGTCGAAAATGTCCTCTTTCCACCATCTCTTCCCCAAGCTGCTACTCTGGGCCCTTAGCTGGCTGTCCTCTCTCAACCATCCTCCACCCTGCAGTTCTACTATCTTTCTAAAGGACAAATTTAATTCATTTTCTTCCCTGCTTAAAACCCAACCCACCAATAGCTCCTGATGGCCTGTAGAGAAAACATAAACTTAACCTGGCCACCACGGCCTTCCACTACCTGCCCTCTGTCTGCCCACTGGCCATTTCCACCAACCTGTGGCTTTCTGAATATGTCCTCCTCTCCTTTGCCCAGCAAACTCCTATTCATCCTTCAAGACCCAACTTCTGTATCTTCTCTAGAACACTTTCCCTGATCACACCTCACACTCACCACTACTGTCGCACTCCAAGGACTACATTATAACTGCTGGTCTGTTTCCTCCAGTAAACTCTGACCTGTGAGAGGTGGTTTCTGTACTCACCTTGAGCAATAATGGATTTGCAACAAAGGGAGACGTCGAAGGACCCCAGAACTAAGTTATGACATTTGATCCCTGTAGAAGAAGCAGCCCTGGTCAGGGCTCAGACCTGAGCAGGTTTAGCTGTACAGGACATTATATTAACAATAGGTAACAATCCACGCATTGGCTCATGTGCAAGAAACTATGCACATTCTTTATCTGCATTGTGGCATTTGAAAGGATTGAAGAACTGAATTTATATAAAGTGATGAGCACAGAGCATGGCACCGGGGACCACTGAACAAATGTCAGCAATAAAGTGACAACTCCTGTAAGGGACATTGTTTTCTGCTAGGCAGTGTGCCAAGCACATCCATGCACTATCTCATTTCTCACAAACCAGGGAAGAGTCTTGCTGTTTATCCCTATTTCACAGATGAAGATGCTGAGTCTCAGCTGGGCCATGATCTACACAAGGCCTTCAGTGCACGAAAGCTGAAATTAGGCTCCTAACCCAAATCCATCTGCTCTGTTGCCCAGATTCTCTACCTCTCTGGTACAGCAGAGTGCCAGGCAGTCCCCAGAGCGCATCTGGAAAGAAAGCAGGCCGGTTCTTCCAGGGCAAAGCCTAATGAGATAGCCAGGGGAAACATGAGGTCCTGAGAGGCTTCCTTTTCTGTCCCACTTAGTCTAATATCACATTTTACTTGCCATTCTCCAAGGGACACTAGTCACGGGATGTGCTTAGACTCCTACGTGCCAAGTAGTTAGCCCTTCCTTCTCGGCTAGCAGCATGGGCAAGCTGGAGTCAGTCCCATCCTTCGTGCAATTGGGAGAGCTGGCACCGAAACAGTTACAGTGATTCACACAGACCTAAGACCCAGGGGCCAGCCCTGCTCTGCTACCTGCCAAATGAGGTAGCAGGAATAGCTTTGCAACTGGACCCTCAAAGCCTTGATTCTGCCAGGTGCAACTTCTGTGACAGGCCAAATTAGCCACGTAACCTCTCTGAGCCTCAGTTTCCTCATCTATGAAACAAGGCTAAGACTTTCTCAGAGGGTGTGGTCAGAATCAAATGACTACTATGTGTTCCCATGCTTGGAGGACTATCAAATGTTCCACAGTGGCTACCATTAGCTCAGAGAAACGTTTGCTCACCTTGAACTCTATCTCCTTTCTATTTCTGATGAATTGCAATGCTCGAGGTCCTGCACCCCAAACACAGTGAGGCTCATTCTAAGTCAGTCCACCCTAGTCAAGAGTTCTTGTCTCCAAGTGGTCAGGCCTGTATCACAGAGACATTGCCTTGAGTTCCCATTCTTCATTCCCCAAACTCTACGTAGGATCTGTATCACCCCCCCCCCAACACATTCATGTTTTCATACTAAAGATATTTATCCTTTAACTGTCACCCTCAGATATTGGGTGTTAAATCCAGTAGGTTGTTGAGTTTCTTCCACAGAGGAAGGGTTCTGTCATCTCCCTTCTTAAATAAAATCTGCCTTGATTCTCTCTGCTGAGTTATATATTTGGATAGGATAAGGTGGTTCTGAGGCTCGCTCTCACTCTGTTACTGGGCACTGGGGTCTCCGCCTCATACCTATACATAAGATAATGACAGCAGCTAAGAAATCAGCTTTGTTTGCAAACTGCCTGACAAGAAGATAGGAATTAAATTCAACTTCACCTCCCAGTAAAGAAATCAGGTCATATAGGTTTAGGGACAAGGGTTGAAAACAAAGAAGTTAAATTTCACAGGCTGAAAGCATGTGGGATAGAAGGAGTTGGCTGAAGTCCACTGTTGAGTCGCAGGGCAGTACATATGAGGAAAAGTCTCAAGTAGCTTTCCTTCAGATAACTGAAGTTTCCATTTCTTTTGGTGGCCCCTCACCTCTGGGTGTCTGCTCCTCCTCTGCACCCTTGTTTCCAGCTGGACTTCGAGCCCAGTTCAGGGGAGTCTACTTGTGCTTGCTCATGCTGGGTCAGATAAACTACATCTGCCATGAGAAAAATAAGTTTAGGGTCTGAGACCAATATAACCATTTAGTCTTTGTTTCAGCTCCATGAGTCCTGTTAGAGGTAAATAAATAAATAAATAGATAGATAGATAGATAGATAGATAGATAAATAAATAAATAAATAAATAAATAAATAAATAAATAAATAAATAAATAAATAAATAAATAAATAAATAAATAAGAAAAAGTGAAATAATGCATCTAGGAGTTGGGCTCCAGCTTCCCAGAAAGTTTGCTAAGCAGTTACCCACAATGACCTGAGCTCTTGGGGTAAGAGAGGGGAATTATGGGTAGCCTCCTAGGCACGTTTGCCTAGGAGCTTTTGAAACCTCTTAATTTGGAGGGAAATTATTTGCCACGTCCTCTACGGGCACAGAACTCCACACTGGAAAATAAAAGTTTTGAGAATCATTGATAGGTTTCTCCCTACAAGTTTGTTAGAAGACTTGCCTCCATGCTCCTTGACGACCTCACCTGAAAGCTCAACAGAGGTGAATGATGGTTAAAGTTAGAAAATACCTGTGTTTTCTCACCAGAGGAACCAAACCTTCAACAACTGAGTTTCACTGTTTCACCTTCCCTTGATTTCTGAGGATTGTCCTGACTCTTGGGGAAGTTTTCAGCCACATCCCGGAGTCTCCAAATCCTCCCATGATTTGATCCAACTGCCTTACCTGCCTCTCCCTCTCACCTGCTCCAGTTGGAGGCACCTGCACCTTGCACCACCCCAGCCCACCTGCATAGCTTCTACCTTTTAGCTACTGCTCCCTAAAGGCCCACATCCTCCCCAGAGTTCAGTGTACCCAGACCCGGGCCATCCTAAAGCCATAATTTTTACTAATACCCATCACCACCTGCCTTGACACCAAGCTGGAAGTAACTCGGGAGCGCTAAGAATTAATGATAATAATATTAATCGCAACTAATATTTCTTGGGTTAAGTGCCAGGTATTTTATACTCTCCCACTTTTTCCTCTGGTAACTTATCACCTAGGTATTACAGTGGCTTATCTCCATCTGACTAATGAGAAAACTAGGACTAACAAGATTTTGCAAAATTGCCAGGTCATATAGTCGGTGCGTACAGGAGCCAAGAATTGAACTTGGGGTCTTGTTCTAAACCCATGGGAATGCAGCCTCTCCCAAGGTTATGGCTTTTAGGCATGGACCATCTACCACTTTGCACCACTAAAATCAGTGTGCACTTAAGAGTTAAGGCAACTTTTAAAAGCATTAAAAAGGTTTGATGTCGATAAAGATTCATTAAGGCCAATCGCATTCGGATGGGCTTAGGGCCCAAACTAGAGTCCATCAGCCTCTCAGGTGTTCAAAAATTTCCACTTTCCTACCTGTAAGGCCCAGTTTTCTATTGAGCACTGATTTTCAGTGTCCTAGCAATTTTTCTGCTTTTATTACTTGGCAGTGTGATTTATGCATGGGGCACACACATTAAGAGGCAATGTAGTTATTCCAACTGTCATAACTACTAAATTGAATTGAATGGCAATCCACTGATAGTTCAACCTCTACAGAACAAAAAATTAGCCCAAAGCAATCAATTCACTGCTACTTTAGAGACATTGCTGGAACAACAGCACAAATGGTAGGAAAGGTGATGTCCTGACTGTCACTTATTAATATGTGGAGTTTTGGTGTTCCACACTCAGATGAAGGCCACTGAAATGTGAAGCTAATTTGTCCAAACAGAATTTCTCATAAATACCTTTGATTGTTCCTTTGTCTCTATCCTTTTCTAAAGACAGGCAATTAGCGGTGTTTGCAATATTACAAGCAAATGAAATTGGGTCTCTGCCCAGCCCGCCTACAAAGGACTTCTACAGCAATAAAAATAATCAATTGAATTTTTCATTTCTGCTGGGTTCATGTGATTTCCTTAATAATGTCAGTGAAGATTGTAATTTGCAGGAAAAAAATAAACACTACTTGCATGAGGCGTGAAATTCCAGGCCACAGAAATGTCACCTTCTCTTACAGAATTGTTTTGTTACAAGCATAGGCAGCGTGGACAACATGAATAGACCTGATATCTGGTACCCGATTCATTTTTCATAGAATGACCTATATTTTTGTCCCAAGCATAGCCTGTGCATTTTTCCTTCTGTATTTTTGCTCTCTAGCAGCTAGAAAGAGAAAGCAGCACAATAGGATCAGAAGCCTGACATTAAACTACTCACTAACTGAGTGACCTTGGGCAAGTCATTTCACTTCCTCAGGCTTCTGTTTGCTTCTTAGTGAAAGGAGGCACACAAACACGAATGTGCCTGCAATCTGAGCTTGCTCTCTGAGGACAGGCCTGGCCCACAATAGGCATATAGGACATGTAGCTTGAGCATGTCAACTAATGAGTGTCTCTCACAGATTTTGACATGTGGTCAGCATGAATTAATTGTGGCTTAACAATTAAGTCTGCCCCCCACCCAAAACATACACCTATTTCTCCTAGCCCAGCAAAATCTGAACCATTCTTCAAAGCTAGCATCAAATTCTGCTTATCTGAGAAACCTTCAGCAGTTAAAGCGATCTGACTCCCTGAACTCCAGGCTATATGTTGTCCACTGTTGTCACTTAGGACTTGAACTTGTCACATAGTCTTTTTATGTATTCACAAGAAATGTCATAGCTTCCCAGTTAGATAGCAATTTCCTTACGGGCATGTTCAGCCTTTAATTCCTAGCGCTCCCCTTTTTCCTAATATAGCCATCACACATAGTAGCTGCTCCTCCATCAATCCACAGATGGAGGGGGCAAAACCCAATCCCCATGGAGAGGGGCAAATGCTAAAGAAGTTTCTAGATCCTGCCTCTGCCCCAGAGAGATGGCAGCAACCATCACTACTGCTTTTGGTGAACACATTGTGTTTCTAAAGACCTCTTCCACAAAAAGTTTGTTCCACTTGCAAGAGCCCTTCCCAGTTGTTGGCAACTGACATCCCCATGCCTTGTGATAGAAGAGTAGTTATACAACTTCTGTGGGAACAGTGGGGCATTCTCAGTCCAATTTTGAATTGCCTACACAATTCTTTTTCATTAAAAACATACAAATATTCCCTGAGTCAGTCATTACACTTCTAAATGATTGCCTTATAAGTTGAGCTGCACGTATATGGAAAGACATTACAATTGTTCACTGGTGGGTGAAAAAGGCCTAGGTACCATTTACGTGTGTAGTAATAGGGAGGTAGATAAATAAACCACAAAACATCTACATAGACCACTATGCAGTCTTTAAAAGGAACAAAGTAGATCTTCATACACTAATGCAGAATATTCTCTAAGATGTGTTAAGTATAAAATAAAGTGCCACCCAGTATTTGGCCTAATATAACTTAGGTAAAAGGGGGGTTTGTACCCACATGTGCACATCTGTGCAGAAAGTGTCTCTGGAACAATGGTGTAAATGATGGAGGCAGGGGACTAGTAGGTATATATTTGGCTCTGGGTTCTGATTCCATTTTTTTTAAAGGATTTATTTATTTATTTGTACAGAACTGGGGTACAGGCCAGAAATGCGGAGGGTGAGAGGATTCACGAGAGATAGAGTAGGGAGCAGATAGAGTAGGCAGATCGACGAAGTACACTGCTGAGGGGAGCAGCGGGCGGGTCACGCCATGTGGATCTCCTCCGGGGCAGGCGGGGATTGAACTCATGTGGAAGTGGCTTTAGCTTCTTTGTGCTATGCCTTAACCCGCTGTGCCACCAGGGAGGACCTCTGATTCCATTTTTTACAGACTGAATTTTTTTGGTGAGTGTATGCATTCTCTTTCTCTTCAATTCCTTTTTTTAAGGAATTCTACTTAATTTTAATAAGGGAATACACTCACATACAAATTACAAAGCAGCGTATGCTACAAATCATCCCTCCTAGTTTCTCCCTCAGAGGAAGCTAGTAGAAACCTCTACTTCTTTCTGAGAGGTTATCCAGGTACTGAGGTATGTGCTCTTTAAAAACAATCAGAATAAAGTGAACTAAGGAAAGCCTTCACCCTCCTCACCCTCCCTCTCCAGCTGCTGCTCTCTCCCAATCCTCTCTACACAGTCCCATCAGCTTCTGCACAGGGCTTGCTAGATGGAGTCATGGGACACGCTTGAGAGTCAGCAGACCTGAGTCTTCAGTAAATGATCTGACCTCTCTGGGCCTCATCACTTCATCTATAAAATGGCTCTACTGCTTACCTCTGAGAAGGAAGGGAAAGAAACAGTTTGTGAGGGGCTTGTATATGTTACTGTTCAGCCCCTAGAGCTGAGCTCACTCCGTCCTCTGCTGGGCCCATCTATCTGGACAGGGTTCCTGGGGGCAGCAGGATACCACAAACCCCTGGATGTCCCCTTGCCTCCTCTGGCTAGTGCACTCCATGTTTCTAAAGCAACAGTCTATCATAAACTTCTCTAGAAAGCAGAGAAAACTTGTGGTGGGGATTGCTCAACACCAATCCTTCACCCTGGTTTGGGGACTTTTGAAAAATGTTAAAGCTAGGAAACCTATTTCTGAGATCTGCCGCAAAGTGGGCTTTCTCTAGCAACTTACTTTTTTTTTTT